AAGTATGGGGATAAAGATCGACTTGAATATTGAGAGCTTAGTTTTCAGACTGAGCTCTGCTTTAGACACAGTCGGTCGGGCTAGTTCGCGCAGAATGCCACTGGCTACTCCAATTCGCCGGTCGATCTCTTTCTTCAATTTTCCATCACTAGTAAATACGAAGTACTTGAACTTCTCCACCTGCTCCACTGCCTCTCCGTTAATCTGAAGAGAGCAACAGGCAGGAGAACGATAAAGCACTATTCTTTTCGTTTTAGATGCGTTCACACGCATGGCGGTCACGTCGCACTCGGCTGCGAACCTTTTTAGGGTGCATTGAAGATCAGTTTCAGAAGAGGCTAATAAAACAAGGTCGTCTGCAACAAACAAACAGCAGACAGCAACCTTCTTGTTTTCACATCTCATACACTGATACACTCATCGCCTTGGCTGCTAATGACTATTTTATCCATCTACAACAAAAACAGGAAAGCGGACAGGACGCAGCCTTGGCGGATACCAGTTCTAACGTTGAATGGTTTTCACTTTACGCCATTTACTCTCACGCAGCACCTGCTTTCAGAATACACTGATTGGATGGCCGTTGGCAGCTGGCCATCTAGTCTGTTCCGTATGCTCGAAGGAATGCCCACAGACTTTTACGTGGGATTCGGACGTAGTCTATTTCTAGGTCAACAAAACACATGTAACCGGACAGGCGTGCTCCCACGATTTTTCGACAATGTGGCGCAGGGCAAATATATAGTCACAGGTCCTTCGACCGGGTCACAAATTACATTACTCTTCTTGTATCTTGAGGTTAGTTGTTTCCCGGCACCTCCTTTCTGGCACCTTTGCGAATAATTTACGTAGGACTCAATAACGTAATGCCCCTCTAATTGGAGCATTCCTTGTGGTCTCCTTTCTTGAATAGGGATGCAAAAACACCTGTTCTCCAGTCCGCTGGTGTCTTTCCCGCAGTCATTGCAGTTTCACTGGCACGTGTAAGCCAGCACATGCCTTATTCGCCTAACACCTTGAGCGTTTCATAGCGGATTTCATCAATTCCATCAGCATATCCATTTTTCAAATTTTTTGCAGCTTGTGTAGTTTCATCTACAAACATAGTAATATGCGTTCTCTTCTGCTCTACAGGCGAGTCTTCCTGCGGTTGCGCGGGGTTAAGGAGTTCCTCAAAGTACTCCCTCCATCGCCGAAGAAA